AAGTCCAGATTCTTTAGAATTACACAAAACTCATAACAATATAAAATCTTGCTAATGCAGCAAAGTTGAGGAGGATGTGATCCTCACCAAAATAGCCAGTGTGGTCACAACAACAGTGTCAGATTGACTCATTGCCGATATAATTGTGCATACAAAAACATTTCTTGCTTAAATAAAATTTACTGTACTGTACAGAAAGCCGTCACTCATGACTTTGTTTTGCTTCCATGGAGCCAGACTTTCGCTTTTAATTTTGCAGAAGTCTTGAGCAACAGTTCTCCAGGCTTGCTGAATGTATTTTTTTCTTTTATCCAAACCCTTGGAGTATGGTGTGTAATGTGCCCTTTAAAAAGCCTCATCAGAAATGATGTCAGTGGAAAGATAGTTCCCAAGAAGCCATTCTTAAGGAAGGGAAACTGGGAGAAAAGGCTGAGTTGTGCCTACACAAGAGTTGGACTGAAAGTCAGTGGCAACAGGTCTGATGGAGTGATGAATCCAAATTTGAACAATTGTACCACCATGCAATACCATCTGAAAAGCTTCTGCCTGGCATCAGCTGCATTTTTCCTTGTATCCTTTATACTATTTCCATGTATGTTTGCATGTTATGACATCTTTGCACTGGCTTTACAAATTATAAAAAGGAGTGGTTCAAGATTCTTGTGCAATTCTGTCATTGTATTAAAGACAAGTGGGTATATTGTGTCCTGGAGTTTGCACTAGATCCTTAACTGTAACATGAACCTGTCCCACGGGTCAGTGCTACACTTTCACTTTTTCTTTCTCTCTTTAGCTTTGTTGGACCTGCCTGTGCAGCCCAGTGCAACAGAGGTGTTGGGTTTCGCTCAGACTGCAAACACTTCAGCCAGCGGCCTGCCTTTCCGGTTCTACGAGCAGTCTAGGCGGGCACCAAATGATCCCACGGCAAATAGATCAGTTTTTGCCTCTGTCGATAAAGTACCAGGTAACACACAGATGCACATACCGTCTCAGCTTTTATCTCAGACCAGCTGTTTATAGCGTCTGACCCAGTAGTACTATGGTTTTGTTATTGCTTTTATTTCTTTAGTGTTGGGGTTGAACATTAGATAAGTGTTTCACTAAAAACATAGATTAGATGCTTTGAATAGAAAAGGGATTCTTCAGAACTGAGCTGAAAAGTCCCTTCATATTACTTGCATTTGTTCATCCTTTACAGTGCGCTCATCGAAATACTTTGACATTTTTATGTTACAAATGAAGGTCAATTAAGTTAATATACACTGTTTACATGTTAAATGTACAAGAAAACACATAGAAATGTTTATTTTAACTTCCTTAACTGACATGTCTGCTTGTCACAAATATATCACACACATCAAAGTACAGTCCTGCCCAGTGACTTAACTTCTTCATGGTTCTTAGTGAGGCTGTAATGTGACACAACTGAAGGTTCAAGAGAAATCAAACCCAGCTGAGATATTTATACTCGTATTCAAAGCGTTAAGATCGCTCCAACTCTAAAACTGAGTATGTGTGTACTCTCAAATACAGGATGTTCTATTCTGTAGCATAGAAGTTGTTCCCTTGGGTATTGTTGGGATTTCTGCTATAATAAACCTGAATTGAATTGCCGTTCCCTTATTCCATAAAGAAGCCGAGCAGACGGCTTTAAAGAAAAAGAGTGTCCGTTTTGAAGTCTATACTGAGCTCACTTTGAACAAAACATTAACAGTGAAGTGTAGATCTACTGAAAAATACTGAGATCTAAATTGTAAATATAGAACACAAAGTCAGTCTTAACTAAATAAATCATACATATTGAATTACTAAATCAACTTTAGCAGACAAGATACCAGTGCAGGCAATGTAAGTGCAATAAAAGGTGTTATAAGCTCATAAAACTAAACATAATGACACTGTTCACTATTTGTGGCTTGCAAATGTCTAAATATGTTGAATTTCTCATTGTGTAATAGTACACAATCCTGTGGCAACATCCAGTTTACTGGGATTTACTTATTGAGCGCTACATTATGATGTGCGATATCTTTTTTTAATATCCAAAGTATGGCTTACTACATGCATCTGGTGTACATCTAAAAATAGACTTTCCAGTTTTAGTTGAAAGTGTCAAACGATCAAATGTGGCGCCACCGTTTTCATTCCAAAATTTCACTCATTTCAAGAAATCCTACACAAACAACACATATCTGAACATTTAGGGCAACTATTCAACCACATAATGTGTGAGTTTCATCAACCCACCACTGTTAGTTTCAGTATTATGACCACAGATGAAAGAGTGGGCAGGGGCGAAAAACCGAATTTCCCAAATTCCAAAAGAACTGTGAAGTTGAAATGCTGTGGGTTACTGCTGATTGGTTAGAAACAATGATGTCACTATCTGTTACATAGCCTGATCTATGCTGATTGGCTTAGAGAAATCCATGTGGTTCTAAAACCTAACAGTGATGTGGCAAGGCCTATTTTGAGATCTTGTGAAGTTCCCTGTATATGGTTCCTCACTCGATAAAGCAGTGAATACTGTTCGTACTGTTGTGCCTTACTGCGGTCGCTCTGTCTGTTCCTGTAATATAATCCCTGTGAGTAAATCCCCACTGAGTACACTAATATAATCCCTTTTCAATGGATTTCCGTGAGTTATATCACTGTACTCACTGTATCTTCAGCTCCTGAATACGACTCTTTTGTCCTCCTTAGCAGGAGAATCTCCTCTGGAGTTACAAGTCACCCAATTAATAGTTTTATTTTTCCAGAGGGCAACACGTGGGGTAGATTAAGAAGCCTGTTCTTAAATCTTGACACGGTATCATTACCTCAGCTGAAACAGTTTAGAGCTTGAATTAATACGACTGTATGCCCTTACCATGTCAGTGCAGTGTGTGTAGTGTGTAAGCAGGTATAAAGGGCTAGTGGTACCAAATCTGTATCTGCCAAATATTAAATATGCTCACAACTGCTACTTCTGTTGCTGTGTTGTGGTGGTGAATAATGTCCTGAAAGTGTCGCAGTGAAATCATAGTTTCATCGTTTTTTGCAGTGAAATAGTGTAACGAATAGCACTGAACATCCTGAGGTACGACCGCAGGTCTGACTGACCATCAGATTTTACTCAGTTCACCCTCATATCCAAATGGAGTGTCGTGCAAGATAATGAAGCTTCCCTCCACAGTAACTTTGAGGTCACTGTGACCTTGACTTTATTATTTATTTGTTCACTAAATTCTAATTAGTTCATCCTTGCAAGTAAAAGTTGGTGTCACACTTGAAGAAATTCTCTTCAGATGTTCAAGAGATTCCACATTTAAAAGGAGACAGACAGACATCCAAAAATATATCGGCTTTGGCCACAGGTGTCCCAGTGGATACGTAAAAGTTATCATGACATCAGTAAATGCTTGTGATACGCTGACCCTTATGCTAATATTTAACAGCCACGGGCTTCTAAGAAACTGATCGAGGAATATGTAGGTTAAGCAAAATAACATCTGGATGAGCTGGATTCATTGTGGAAATATGTAGCATGCAGATGAAGTTAAAATCAAGGCTTTTCTAAATCAAGAACAGACACTGTTTCTTGGGAAATGTTTGCAAGCTGTGGGATCTGCCCAAGCGTAGAGGTTTCTAAATTCTACCCAAGCTTTTTTACGAGCCACATTAATTAGTTTATTTTGTAGAATATTGGACTAAAAACGCCTCTTTTTATGTGTGTTTGTAGCAGAGAACACTTAAGAGACAGTTTGAGTTGCTCATGGCAAGGGTAAACAGAGTCTGTCTGTTGGACTCATTCCAGGGTTTGCAGTGGCTCATTGCGTGCCCCAGCACACTCCCTCACCCCTCTCCTCACCCTCACCTCCCTCCAGTGGAAGCGGGAGCACGGGGCGATGCGACTCTGTTACTGCAAGCACGACATCAGCTCAGAGTCCTGCAGGTAACGCTCACACGGACGCACACAAACCACCACAGCTCCTGCAGGCGTAAGCATAAAGACAAACTTATATTACACATGCTCTGAATTTAAATAAAACGTTTACGTGACAAAGGAACTCAGTCCTTTCCAAATTATTGTAGCACGCCATTGTGCCGAGGAACTATATTTGTGTTACAATGCATGCACACACACCTCCTTGACATATGGAGAGTTTTGGGTGTAACTATAATACAACTACATACACAAACCTCCAAAACCACAGTAGCTGGCAGTGGTGTTTCACTGTGTCGTATAGATGCCTTTGTGTGGTCGACGTGACAATGTAAATAATCATATTGGCTTCCTCCCACGTCAGTTAAATAGTTACAACACAGCACTGTTCCCTTGCAGATTCAGTAGATTCCTGCTACATGAAGCAGCTGTTGTTGTGGATTGGTGCCGAATAAATAAAATTGACTAACAGCCATTTTCTTGCTCATGAGTCCACTTTTATGTCTTTCCAAGCAATAGTCAAGCTTGCAAAGCAACGTTGGCATGACGACCTGTGCGTCAGAAAAGAGGTGCTCCAGCATGGCCATCTTCTGAATGTGCAGGGAGACAGTCTTTGAATGGTGAATAAGATAAAAGAGAAAGCAGTAAGGCTTATCAGCTGTTTAAGGGACTTTACACAGAAGATTATAAAAAGCTATAATCTGCGTGTGCACCCTCTACACAGACATGTCTGATGATATATTGATCATTTTTGGGGTTTAGTAGTTACACAATAACACTGTCATATGTAAGGGCCCATGATTGAACCACCAACCACATAATAAACTGGGAAGCATTGAATTAAATACCAAAGCAGGTAAAGGCTGCTCTGATCGGATTCACTGATGGGATTGATAACAGTAGAACAGCGATGCTTGTGATGCAGGAGTTGAATAGATGAAACTGTTTTGTTTTTGTTTTTTTAAAGACAAATGTGGGTGGAGATGGAGTAGGCTAGACCAAATGTTTCCAAATCATACAAACTTACTCGTCTAGTTTATTTTATTGCTCTAAAACAGCTTTTCTGTTGTTGTTTACTCTTGTGAAACATACCTCACACTCTTACGATGTAAGTATGCCTACATCGTAGTTTATAGTATACAGTCAGGGCTGGGTTTTTGTTAGTATTGCTCCTGTTGCCACAGCTACTAAAATCAGATTGTGCAGTGGTTCCATGATGGAGGACATTTAGGCTCTAAGAGGCTTAGAAAATAGTCTTAACCTTGTCAGCAGGGACTGGCAGATTCTTTACAGTGTAAACAGAGCGCTTTGTGTGCCTCAACTTCCAGTTGATGCAAATCCTCAGTGGTCTCAGGTTCCTATTGGCTGTGTGTATTTAAAATTCTAAAGGTTTCTGAAACCTTTAGAATTGGAAAATACTGAATTTTGCCAAAATGGAATATGGTACAGTTGTACAAATTTAACCAACAAGTGAAAGATCCCTGGTTTGATCCCAGGAGGAAACAGATTCATTTGGGGTTTTATCAGGAAGGGCACTAGTGTGAAAATCTGCCAAATCTAACGTGCAGAGTTAGCGGTGGTTCTGACACCCTGTGAATAAGGGAGCACTGAAAGGTTTTTGTCTGTTATGCAAAGACTTCCGATATGAACTTTCTTTAAATTGACCTTGATACACTCACCCAGTGCCTCTGTATTTTTATCTGTTTCCTTTAATTAGAAGCTGCTCTTTTCCCCTGTGTGGACTGTGCTACAAGCTACATCATACCCCAGTGCTAATCCGTAGAAATGTCTGCCTCTGAGTTTAGCTCCCTCACTGTCTTCTCTATCACTCTCCTAGATGACGGTATACTTTTGGAGCACACTCCGCCTTCATCCTCAGGCGGAGAAAGTGAAGGAGGAGGTGGAGAAGTAACATTAGTCTCCTCTGCTCCCTCAACCCCAGCTCCAGCTCCAGCCCTGGCCCCGAGCCTCACCCCAGCCTCCCAGCCCACTATCTCACTCCTTACCGACAACAGCGCAGACACCCTGAGCGTCGAGTCGCTCACCCTGCTGCCGCCTGCCGACCCACCTCACCTGCACCTGTGCACCGGCCACGTCACAGCAGCTCAGTCCCTACAGAGACCAGATGCCTCTATTGCAGAGGAGGAGGAGGAGGGGGACGACGAGTTGGTTAGGAAAGACGAGGAGGACGGCTCGCCGATAGATGAGACTGAAACAGATGCAACGGTAAAAGAGGAAACCACTGAGACGACTGAGACAGTCACACCCACAGATGAGGTTCCAGAGAGAACAGATGAAATACAAGGTGAAGGCACACTTAAAGAGCTCAATGGGGACCTCGAGCAAGAAAGAGAAGGCGTGACAGCTGGAGAATCTGATAATGCAGAGTTAGACACTGAAACACCAGACTCACCTGAGCTGGATTAAGGAACATGCAGTACTCGTGCAGTCACCAGTGTGATAGATAATATACCAAGCTCATGATGGAAACTGTAGGTTAGAAAGTGATGTGAATAGTCCAAGAGGCTTTCGGAGGCATCTCAACATTTTGTATTTGCACATGAAGAAAGACTCAAAACAGACACTGGTCAACGAGGGCTCAAAGCACATTTGGCTTTCTGTGCTTTCTAAACTCGTGTTTTTCTCTTCTTTTTCTTCTTTATTTGGCACATGTGTGTCGAGGCGCGCAACCAGCAACGTTTTTTACTCATTCTGATTGTGTATGAGCTCAAACACATACCACACGCTACTGCTGCGAGCTGCACTTTTCGAAGACCTATTTTTGTGTCATATTTTCACATACCGGGTCACCACATGCATTTCGGTGGTGTTCACGACTATGCTAAACACAGAACACCACTGCAAGTCAGATGGGTTAGCAGTTTCTGTCACCGTGCAACTGCTGCTGGGTTGGGTGGGGTGTGTTTGTAGGTTTTACATATTTTTCCATTTAGTGAGCAGCGCATTTAAAAATTTTATCAAGTCATCTCTAGCATAAGCTAGGCGGGAGCAGGTCTCAAATTGTAAATGTTCACCATCTCATCTAATTCATAAAGCTGAATAACCAATCGGTGCCATGACTAACCAAAAGAATTAATGGGAAATCTGATCGGGATCGCTCAAGGGCTGTAAAATAACTGGAATAGTACAGCTCAAGTCTGTTCATTCAGTTATTCATTCACTCTGAGAGTCTGTAGGGACACAGGTTGCTAACTGAGAAGCTATTTATTGTTTATTTTAGAAAAGTAAAAGTTGGTTTGTTGAATTAAACTCACAGGTTAATGTTAGTGATGTTGGATGTTCAAGTCTGCACAAAACAACACTTGGGTTGAATGTATCTGCTGGTTTCCTCCTGACACGCTAACGTGAGCTCATTCTCCATGGATCTGGCTTTGACTAGATGAATGCTTTCACACCTTAATTCGAAAAAGAGGGTTATTTTTAAAAAGAGCTTACTGCCTCCAAAAATTTCTAAAACACAGTGTTTGGATTTTTTCGTTATTCTTGTGGCATTACAGATAAATTTTTTCAGGAACAAGTCACAGCTCTCACATGAGTGTCACGGGGGAAAACCCTCACATGCTCCTCTTCTTTTTCCTTTTTCTTTTAATCAGATGAATGAAGCTTTACTACTGCAATAATCTTAAGAGCTAACCAACGAGGGGAGAAATGAATGTAATGGGTAACCTGTCTCTCCAAACAGCAGTGTTTGATCAATTTGAATGAAACTGGTGTGTTTTAACTTGAATTTGTGACTTGATTTGTAAATTATAGGATTAAAGCACACTCTTCAGTCCATCTATTCCCATAATTTCCTGCCATTCACCTCCTCCTCGCTCACACACCATCTTTTTCTGTGCCATCCTCACGCAGCTGAAGTCTTAATGCTCGGAACATTCTTATTTTTTTAACTGTACAGTCCTCAACAAGTTTCTAAAATGAGAACTTCGGAGCAATACGGTCTCTTATTATTTCCATCTTGCTACTGTAAATAGCAGGCGAATGATAGTGAAGTTCACGGACATGCTGAAGAGGCTTGGCACAGTTTGGAGAGTTGATAAGAGGCTTTGTAGGGAGCATATTTTCATGTTCCCTGCAGCCACTACCAATCTCTACCAGAACATGCAGTCACAAGCTTCCATAAGTCTCTGATTGTAGAGTGTGTGTGTGTGTGTCTGTGTGTGTGTCTGTGTGTGTGTCTGTGTGCTTGTCTGTGTGTGTGAGAGAGACAAGTTTGTTTGCTCTGTAAATGCTATGAGCTTTTAAACCTGTAATTATTGTTAATGAACTGAAACAGATGACTAAATAAAGAAATGCAATAAATTATTCTACTTAACTACAGTGACACTGCAGTGTGAACCTTAATATTATCTCTGCCAAGGAGATTATGTAGCTGACTGACTCACGAGTCAGGGAAAAGGTGGCGGATGGGCAAGCCACAGGCTGTATATAAAAGATGTGCATTATCCAATGGTTTGTAAAGCCAGAGGTTATGAGAAGCTGGATTTATACTTATCACCTAAAGCTAGCTAGCTTTTTAGGTCAACAGATACTGCAAATTAGGCTTAAATGGTGTAAAACAGTACAGAGTACAACCTTTTACAATTAAACACACAGTTGTTGGGATTTTCCCTGCGCACTCAAGCAGGAGGCCCTGGTTATATTTGAGAAATCTTATCTTATCAGGCCTGGGAGTGCCGGAGAAAGAGGTGTTTTATGGAGGAGGATATCTGGAATAATCTGCTTAGCCTTCTGCCACTGCATCCCAATTTCACATCAGCAGAATATGATGATGCTTTAAAAGGAATGAGCACCACAAAGAAGAAAGGTCACCTTCGGGTTGCTAGTCACACAGGCCTAGAGACCTGTCGGCGACAATCCAGCAACCTCCAGTCGCAAGGTAGAAATGTGCATTTCCCACCCAGATGTAAGATGCTGGCAGTCACTCAAAATTGATTACTAAAGCCCCATTCACACAGGCCTACAGACTGGTCAGTCACCCCATGGTAACCAGCAGTTGCTAGGGAAAAGCGTGTATTCCACAACTAGTTGGCAAGTGGTTGCTGGTAGTTGCTAGAATAAAACTGGTTGCATAGAGGTACACACTGTTACAACAAACATCTGCCTGGGGTTGGTTTGGTCAGTAGCTCCATTTGCCAGTAGCGTGCATGGAAGATGGAAGAGTTGTCTACAAACTACAAGCAGTGAAAATATGAAAAACATAAATGGAGAACTTTCACCTTCAAAGTAAAAGTTGTGCTGAGGCCTTCCTTTGAAGGCACTTTGAAGATAAACCGTCTTTCCAAACCCACGCATTTAAGTCTCATTAACGCTTAAAGTAATGCATCATAATTAGCACAGTACAGGCAGGTGCTGACTTCTAACGTTTTAAAGGATTTTTGTGCCACAATATACAGCAGAAAAAAAGTCTTCTCTATTAACCTGGTTCAACGCCGGTAATGGCGAAACTGCTAGCTCTACTTATCACTTGGAAAACTGCACATTCCAGGAAGTGCATGCACACTGCTAAGAAATGGTTCGGCACATGACTGCTCGCCTGCACCAGATCTTTTTTACACTGTAATTTACAGTATTGTGCAAATGGCACCTCATTTCTTTAAATTTCACATCCCAGGCGCCAGACTTGTTTTGTTTTTGTGTGTGTGTGTTTTTTTTAAGTGGTCTTGAGCAATACTTCCCTACGTTGTGTCATCCTTTTTCAAGTTTCACTACTGCTCTGAGAGTAAATAGGTAAGTTTTTACAGACAAATCAGCGCCTTCCGTACAAGCTACTGGTGACCACAGTAGTAGTTTGGACAGCACCAGCTTTGGGACAATTATCACCTGGTGACAACCCGGAACTTCCAGCAACCTTTCACCAACCACTTGCGAGTTACAAATTTTTCCCTACCAACTGGTGGTTGGCAGGGAGTCACTGGCAACTCTCTGGGCCTGTGTTTGACGAGGGTTTAGCTGAGGTGGCACCTAGCTTCCAGCTAGCAGCCAAGTCCGCCCTCACCTGTTACTCAGTGTTGCAACAGGCTTAACTATGTATAATTTTAAGCAATATTAAAATTTAAACAGGCGAGTTTTAAAAGTAAAGGTAGTCACTTTAATAAAAAATCCTCTGCCGACTGATTGGCTGTTTAGGCTGAGCGTTTTAGCATTAGCTTCACTTTTTATATAATATGTTCTTGCTACAAATGTTGAACTGATTAAATGGTGTTTTCTGTGCCATAAGCAATGTAGTACATGAGGTACCTTTGAAATCAATTAATTAGGGCAAGTTCACAGATCCCTTCGTTGGATTTCATGAAAACATGTCTCTAAAATGCGCACAGATTATCCTCAGACTTGCTAGCTCTGCAATAGACTGCCAACATGTCCACTTGGTAGACATGACTCTGATAAGTGGAATAAAGTTGACGCATTGATGGATATTTACAGACTATAAAAAGGCTAGCACTTACACTTCTGTGTTGAGTGGTATGAGAGTTCAAGACAAATACATTTTATATCACCAGGCAGTCCATGACCTTGTGTTCAAACCCCCATACAACAAACTTTATATGGTGTGTGGATCAGTCTGTTTTCAGCTTTGACAGATGATCCCTAGACCAAGTCACATTATCATATGGATTTTGGCTTTTAAAAAGTACTTTTCCACTGCACTTAATCGAAACATTGTTTTGAGAAAGCTAAAAAAAAACCTGTCTGGCTTTTGATCACTTTGGGCATCCACTTTAAAAAAAAAAATGCATTTAGCCCAGTCCACTAATGACAATAGTGGACTACTGGCCTTGGTCGAGGTCTGTGCTCTCTGAGTGCCCTTCAGGTGTTACTTGCAGACAGAAAGTGAGAGAGGATGGTGCTCATTTCTTTTGCTTGTGGTTTTCTTTCCCCTCTTCACAGAATCACAGCTCAATACTCTAGCACAGCAGAGGAGGTTCTCCTCTGTGTTTCTGAGAGTGTGGGAAGATTTCCACTGATGTTTGGGTTGCATTTCCTTTCTGCCGCCGACTGAGTTTGGTGTCAAGTAACACACACACACACACACACAAGGAATTCGCAGAATATTTTTAAGGCTGATTTGTCATTTGATTCAATTTTAGTTCAGATGTATTTGGTTTTGAAACATGGTGATTTCTGAGAAATCAGGCCCTCAAAATCTGGTCCTAAAATCTGGGGAGTCATCAGGAGAGAGGTGAAACAGCCACCTCGATGTCACTATGAAACTTCGACGGAGATGTCTGTTATTTCTCTAAAAAGAAACATTTTTCGCTCCGCAGTTCTAGCAGATATAATGAGGATGTTTCCAAGTATGAGGCTTTTTGACTTGAATGTGCATGTGAGAGGTAATCTGCTGGAGCTTATGACGTTACGCTTCGCACCTTTATGTTATGGTCCTGTGGCTGCTGCAGGAACCCTCAGTCATTGTGTGGTCTGTACGTGTCAACTTTTTTTTTGTTTATCGCGGTTCCTCTCTTCAGGGAAGTCTGGTGATGTGTGCGTAAAAGTGAAGAGGTTCCTGGTACTGCAGCAACACTCTGTGTGTGTGTTTTCTCTGTACTAACCGCAGTGACTGCGATAATTGGAGATTAGTCTGTGCGCTCATATGTGTTTCATATGTATGAAACAATGATTCTCTTTAAAAATGCATCGTACTTCACATGTGTCACTTTTATGATGATGCTGTTGATCAAAGATAACTGGTGCACTTAGGCTCTGGTTTTGTTCGTGGTGCACGGTGCAGCTGAACTGAGGTTATCTTTGAGCGTTTGGCAGCTTTAGTAGAAATGGATTAAGTATAACGTGTAGAAGTTATATAATATTTTAAGGAGACTTGTGTGCCACAATGTGCAGCAGACAAAAGTAATTTTTCTTAACTTGGCCCAAAGGCTGGAAACGGGAAACGGCTAGCTCTTAGTATCACCAGGCAAACAGCACAAATTCCAGGAAGTGACTGCACTCCGCTAAGAAATGGTTCAACGCCTGACTCCCCCCACCCGCACCATGCCTTTTTTACACTGTGGTATTTAGTACTGTGCAAAAGTCTTGAGTCACCCCTCATTTCTCTATATTTTGCTTCCAATGAAACAAGATTTCATGTGATTTGTTTTCTTTTGTTTTATCTGATCAGCAATAACTTATCACAGCAGTAGTTCTTTAGACTTTCTGAAGGTCTTTCAAAGTTTTTTCTTTGGACATTGGCTGCTTTTTCACTCATTTTCAGTGCAGCTCTTATACCTGATCGTTTTTAGAGGAAAGTCCCAACAATTTCTATGTTTTTAGTTTAATCTGTAAAAAATGCCAAAGGTGACACAGTTTGATAGACATAAAATAAGAACTTTTCACCAACAATGTGATTCCCAAAGAGTTATTAGGTGAAAACTTGGCCTATCTCAACATGGTGTGCAGTGTGTCCTTAAAATATTTGAGGAAATTGGACAAGTGAAGGACAAAAAAGCATCAAGCCTATCTAGAGAAGAGGAACAGTATCCGAAAGTCATGTCATGACAAATCCAATGACAAATTTTTGGTTTAAATCATCACTAATATCAGTTCAAGAGAGAGGGACAACAGTGAGTGTCTACAGCCATCCATAAACGCAAGGGAAGCTCCGTCAAGGTTTAGGCGTACATTTCAGACACTCATGTTGGGGATATTGTCAAAGCTGATCAATGCTTTACTTTTCATCTTGATTATTTTCCCAAACACACTGTCCATAGAATATATCTGGATAGAAAAACACACAGTGGAACACTATCAGTCATGGACCTCAACATCATTGGAGCAGTGTGTGATCATCTTGATAGAGAACAGAACAAAAGGAAGCCAACATCCAAGAAAGAGCTTTGAATGGCCTTCAAGAAGCCTGGAGAACTATTCCTGAAGACTACTTAAAGAAAAGACAAAAAAGCTGCCTAAGACAGATCAGACTATGTGGAAGAATAAAGGCAGTCATACTAACTCTGTCTTTGCCTTTATATATTGTATTTCCATTTATCTTTGCACATGTTTTAATTAATCAAATAGAGAAACGAGTGGTGGCTCAAGACTTTCACACAACACTGTAACATATTAGGAGACCTAGAAGGCAGATTTTGTTACCTTATGACGAGGCTAAGTTAGTTAAGGTGTTGTTCTGGCCAAAGTACCCTATGACCTTTTCTGGTAAACATACTCATGCTAACTACAAGCTGTAGATGGATGACAGTCAGGTATTTCTGATATGATAAATCATGGAATGAAGTCAAAGTGTGCCTCTTTGACACTTTTCAAGACACGCACAAATTCATTTCAAAACCAAGTGTGTGTGGGTATGTGTGGGTGTCGGGGGG